GACGTTCTCCTCGTGCAGGAGACCAGGATCCCTGCTTCGTCGGTGGAGCCGACCGAGGCGCGCCTCCGTCAGATCGGCTGGTCAGCCTCTCTCACGGCCGCGCTGTCCACGCTCGGCAATCCCACTGGCGGTCTGATTACGGCCACGCCCAAGAGGATTGGTCTAGGTGTGCTCGAGAGTGTCTCGCCTGTGCTGCAGCCTGCGCGTGCCAGTATTCACCATGTGGGAGGGATGATTCGAGGAGGTTTCCTGGTTGTGAATCTCTCTCTTGTGCATTCCGTCGGGGTGAATGAGGCTAACTGGAACATCCTGTGCCGCGTTGGAAGGTCCCTCAAGGCTGCTGGCATGGCGTTCGTGATCGGTGGAGATTGGAATATGCATCACGCTGATCTGTAGCAGACTGGATGGGTCGATGCCATGGACGCAATCATCGCCGCCCCTGATGGCGGCACGTGCCGCCCGGCCATGAGGTGCATCGACATGTTCGTCGCCTCGAGGGTCATTGCAGGTGCGGTCAGGGCCGAAATAGTTCAAGACGTCCCCATCTCCCCCCACTACCCTGTCAGGCTCGTTCTCCCACGCATTGAGCCCGTTGCTGGGGTTAAGTATGTTAAGTTGCCCAAGCGTTTCCCTCTGGAGCGCCCCATTGGTTGTCTGGGCCCCCCCGTCGAGGGTAGGTGGGAGCCCGTTGCCGCGTTGTGTTCTGATCCTAACGTCTCTGTGCAGGACAAATGGAACAGCTTCCTTCGGGCGGCGGGGGCTGAGTGGCTTTATGTCTTTCAGATTTCGGGAGAGCTTGCTGATGGGTACGTCGGTCGTGACCTGCCTCTGAAGATCTCCTCCAAGAAGCCATCTTGCCCTGGGCCCCCGAGGTTTCCCAAGCTCTCCCCGTTGGCGTGTTGGTGGCGCAAGGTCAGTGTCCTCTTGGCTGACCTTGCCCGAGATCCTGTGGGCACTCACAGGCGGCAGCTCGTTTCGGCTGCCCATCGGCTTTCAAGCTTTCACCGCCTCCCTAGCAGTGCTATGTACGCCGCCTGGGCGGCAGTGTTGCGCCAGGCTGATCTGCTGCCGCTGCTCTCGGCCAGGGCGCTGGCAGAGCTGGCGGACGTCGAAGCCAAGAGGATTCAGGCTCAGTCGGCGCACGACAAGGACAGGGAGTGGAGCAAATGGGTTGACAAGCATTCCTCGGGGGGGGATGTCGGCCTTGTTCAAGTGTTCCTTCCCTCCCATCGGCTGGCAACCCGATGCCCTCGACCACCCCACCCTCCGCCCTTGTTCGTCGGCCGAGTCGGTCGAGGCCCTCGAGGCCGAGTGGAAAAAGTGGTGGTCCGTGGGACAAGCGAAGCCCCCCCTCGAGTGGCCTGAGCTTGGAGTGCCGCCTGAGCGACCCAGCGTTGACGAGCTCGTGCGGGCTCTTAGAAGCTTTAAGCCTTCTACTGGCACTGGTTTCGATCAAGTGTCGCCCCGCTCCCTGCTGCTGCTGCCGCATACCGCGCTGGAAGCCTTGTGCGAGGCCATCTCACACATTGAGCACAAGCGTGAGTGGCCTGTCATGTGGAACCGCATTGTGTTTATCCTCAAGCGGGTGGGGGGACTCAGGCCGTTGGGGCTGCCCCACGTGTTGGCTCGCGTTCAATGTCGCCTGAGACGTCCTCTCATTAGGAAGTGGCAAGAGAGAAACTACCGTGAGTTCTTTTGGGGCACCCGCGGTAAGTCCTCGGAACGTTGCGTGTGGATTCAGGCGGCGTGGTCCGAACACTCGACGTTCAAAAATCGTAGTTGTGCGACGTTGCTTTTGGATTTGAAGAAGGCGTTCGAGCTGGTGCAGCACCGACATCTCATTTCGGCCGCGCAGGCCACCTGTTTTCCTATGTGGCAATTGTACCTCCTGGTGCAGATCTATCGTGCCCCGAGGCTGCTCGATGTGGCTGGCGAGGTTGGTTCGTTGCTGGATGTTGAGCAGACTGTTGTACCAGGCTGCACATTTGCCACTTGTATGCTTCAATTGGTGCTGCTAGGTCCCCTCGACGCCGTCCAGGCGTCTTTCCCGACGGTCCAGCTGTCGGTCAATGTTGACGACTTTGGCCTCATGAGGTGGGGTACGGAGTCGAGAGTTCTGCATGACATCGTCGGTGCTGGTAAGAAGCTCCACAGTGAGCTCAAGGCCGCCGACCTTAGGGTCGCCGTCGACAAGTCCCGAGTGCTCGGGAACTCGCCTGTGGTTAGAGCCTCGATAGCTTCGAAGCTCCGTAGCCGTCAACCCCTGCCCGTGAGAGCTGAGAGAAACCTCGGTGTCGATTTCTCCTCTGGGCTCGCTGGAGGGGGCAAGGCCACGTCCGCCTCCCGTGTCAAGGCCATGTGCAGTTGGCGGCAGCGCATGTCCATCCTCAGGGGCTCTAAACCTCGTCGCCGCGTGCTTGGGCGCATGGCTCGAAGTGCTCTGGAATCGTCCGTGCTGCATGGGTCTGCCGTGGTCGGCATTAACGGGCAGGAGTTGGAGGTGCTTAGAGGTGCTGCTAGCAGGCTTCAAGACCATCGCATGGATGGCAAATCCCGCACCCGGGCCCTGTCACTGGCTCCTGTGCCCCGTTTGGGCCCCATTTTCAGGGCCATGTGGTTGCCCGTGAAGGCCTTCCTCTTCGCTCTGTGGCACTCCTGGCTTCCTAGGGACGCCCTGGACTTCGGCCTCCGTGAGGCCCATGAGAGGCTTGTGAATCTGGAGCACCCGTGGTCCTCCATTCGGGGGCCTTTCAGTGCGTTGTGGGCCACACTCAAACGTGTGGGGATCACGGCTACTCCGGCTACCTCCTGGACTTGGCCCGATGGGGCTGTCATCAATCCCTCGAACTTCTGCCCCGTCACCGTCCAGGAGCTCGTGCACCGTGCCGCTGAGTGTTGGCAGTTCGCCAAGGTTGCCGACCACTGGGACCTCCCCGAGTTTGGCAGCGGTGTCATCCTTAGCCCCCTGAAGGCCCTCCTCAGCACCAAGAGTAAGCTCACGGCCCAGCAGAGAGGCCACCTACGAAGCACTGCGGTTGGGGGGCAGTGGCCCCAAAAGCGTCAGTGGGCCGAGGGACACGACACCACGCCTGCCTGCCTGCTCTGCCCGCAGGCCGAAGGCACGTTGCTGCACAGGCGCTGCTCTTGTGCGCGTCTCGACAGCCTCGAGGGCGCCCCTGCGTTTCGTGCCAATGTAGCGCGAGCAGCGCACTCGCCGCTAGCCCTCGCCTTTGCTGAACGCTGTCTGGTCCCTTTTCCCGCAATTGAGAGGCCGCCACCTGGGCAACCAGTGCGTTGGGGGCTGGGAGGACCTGACAGCTTCACGGGCGACATTTACCCTGATGGGTCGGTATTTGAAGCTGAGCATCCCAGCCTCGCGAGTGCGGGCTGGGGGTGCGTGGCGCTTCATCCCGATCGCCTTCAGGTTGTCTATTTTTGCTCTGGCCCTGTGCTCGACCCGTTGCAGTGTATCAATGCTGCTGAGCTCATCGCTGTCATGCATGTGCTGCGCTTTGCAGCGCCGCCAATGCATATGTTTTCGGACTCTGCTTTTGTTGTGGATGGCTTCCACGAGCGTGGTCGTGTGGCCACCACCGCCTGTGTCGCTGCGCATGCTCACCTCTGGAGGGAATTTTGGCGGTTGGTGGATGACTGGGGGGACGGGTTTGAGCTCTCGAAGGTCAAAGGCCATGCGGCCGCAAGTGACATCCAGCATGGGCGCGCCACGGAGCGCCACACGTTTGGCAATATGATGGCCGACCGTGCTGCTAAGAGTGCCGCTGCGTATGCGAGGGCACCGCGTCAGGACCGCGCGCAGCTGCAGGCCCGCTCCAAGCATGTCAAGACCTGGGGAGGCTGGATCGGCCGACTCAGCGAGGGGCTCGAAGATTGTGGCCACCCCAAGCGGCACAAGCGGGGTAAGCCGCGTCTTCCAAGGCTTTCTGTTGTGCGTGAGCCCGCCCCATCCGACGTAGCCTCTCGCGTGCTGGCGGCGCAGAGGAAGCTAGAGGATGGAGCGCGCAAGCATGAACTTATTCGGATTGCCCTTTGCGAAGGTCCCACGGTCGTGGGCTGTGCGCGCTGTGGCAATTTCGCAGCTGTTCGTGTCGCAGCTCTCAGCCAACCTTGCCCGCCTGCGGCCACCGATCATGCCATGAAGGTGCTCAAGCGGCTCGGCATTGGCGAGTTTCGCCTCGGTGCGAAGGTGTTTCGTGTCGCAGCGCAGGCGCCGCTGGTAGAGGCCGCCGTCGCTGACCCTTCCCTCGCCTCCCAGCTGGAGGCTTGCGACGACAGTTCGGAGGCGCCACAGCGATCTGCTGGCGGTGCCGATGCTCTTGTGGAGGACGGAGGTGTCGTCCCGTCGACGTCGTCGAGCGGGGGCGGAGGAGTGTGGTCGGGAGCTGCTGCGCCTGCGCGCAAGCAGCGCGTGCAGCGCACGGATGCAGAGCGCGCTGCCATTGTTCAGCGGCTGCTGGCTGTTGCCAGCGGCCGCCCTCCACCCCACGTTTTGCACGATGTTCTCGATAATTTTGGTTCAAAACAGCCTGACCCCACCGTGGGGTCGGGTGTTGGGGGGCATGCCGTTGGCCATAGGGGATCCTCCCAGTAAGGGAAATCGCCCCGTGGCCCTCGGCCTGCCCTCCCTCTACCCCCTTTTCTTCTCACGTTTGACAGGCTTGTGCTGTGCCCAAATCTTTCTTCTGGCCATGCACAGCCCTCCCTTTGCGCGCTGGCGGTCTGGCCGTGCGCAGTCAGTGCTGCCTGGAAGCCCCTGGCAGCAGTGTGGCCCACCGCGGGCCCTGTCCGAAGCGCGTGGCTGAGGGCGGTTGCAAGGTGCGCCCTCAGCCACGCCGACCGACGGCTGAGGTGTCATAGACTCTGTGGCGCCTCAGGTTGTGCGCAGGAGGAGGAAGAGGGGGAGGAGGAGGAGGAGGAGGAGGAGGAGGAGCAGGAGGAGGAGGGGGAGGAGGAGGAGGAGGTTCTTGGCCGTCCCGGGGAACTCTGTGGACTCTCCCGGGGGCCGCTGGGACGAGGTCCGGGGCGGCCCGTCCGCTCGCTCGCAGGTCGTGCCGCGCAGCACATCGGCACGCAGTGCTGGCCGCGGAGGAAGCGGCCATCTGAGACAAGCGGCCAACTATTACCAGCCTCGAACGTATCCCTGTCCCTAAGATTGACACGCCAAAAGGCGATGACAATCTTCGGGATTCGCCCTCAGAAATAAGGGAATCCCCAAGATTGGCATCGTGATGAGGATATGCCCAGCATAGGGATAGGGATATGTTCCAGGCTGGTATCCTGCGAGCTCCCTGTGGGCCTTTGGTGTACTGGTCGTGGGTCTCGGAGAGCCCATTGGGTCGCTTGCGCGCAATAGTTTGGCTTCTTGGCGCCAAACTGGAGATCACCTGCCCTGAGATCAACCCGTTGTTTCTTGGCCAATGAACCTCGGAGCCGTCTTGGCGTGGCCTGCCACCCCTCTCCCCAGACTACCATAGGTAAGCGAGGCTGTAAATTTGGGTCCCTGGACCAGCCTACCCAGCCATGTGGACTCGTCGTGGTCACTGGATCAGCTTCACTTGTGCCCTGACATGTTTTTCGTAGGCCCCCTCAGTTGCGGATAAGAGTGAGGGGGCGGCGGGGGCGTTGGCGGTCTGCGACGCTCTGAAGAAGCCCGCAGCAGGCGCATAATTGATACAAGTTGTAATTGCAACGAACTCGCCACAGGCGCCGACATTTTCGTGAACAAATGCGGGTGGGTCGTGGGGTGGGTCACAAGTGGGTCGCGGGTGGGTCGCGGGTGGGTCGCGGGTGGGTCGCGGGCCAGGTCGTGGGCCGGGTCGCGGGTGGGTCGCGGTTGGGTCGCAGGTGGGTCGCGGGTGGGTCGCCGGCGGGTCGCGGGGTGGGTCGCGAGTGGGTCGCGGGTGGGTCGCGGGCCGAGTCGCGGGTGTGTCGCGGGTGGGTCGCGGGCCGGGTCGCGGGGGGGACGACAACAACAACCAACAAGCAACAAACAACGAACACCAAGGACGACAACAACAACACCAACAACAACAACACCAACAACAACACCAACAACTACAACATCATTAACAACAACAACAACAACAACAACAACCCGCACCGCATAACCTCACTTCAGCCACGCGCACAGGGACAGTGAATGACCGTTCGGCCCCCTCACTCTCATCATTATGTCTGCTAACGGTCGTTACCGTGCAGGGGGTTGGGGCTCAGGGCAACAGTGACGCTTAGGCGAGTGGGGAGCACGTCAAGGCGGGATGGCTACGATCACAACAATCTGAGCACGAACATCAACATGTGTAGGGGGTCACCCCCCCCCCTCAGTCCGATCGTTACCGTTTCCCGTTGGGGGGTCCAAGTGACGACCCTTACGCGTCAGAGGCCAGAGGATAACAACTATTTCCATCTGGCTCATCGAACTCGGCTTCGTTGATAAAAGAAAAGGCGTGGGCGGTGTATGATGAATGATGATGGTTCCCAGCCTTTTGCGTCGACTACGGCTGCACGACATGCAGGCGCATACCTGAACCCACGAGTCGTGGAAAAACGCAACGCAAGGCAACGAAATTGGCTTGTGGGCACAGCAAGCTCAAACTATTACATGCTACTGTACTCTGCTACTGCAACAACGCATCGTGAACCATGCGTGCAACTAAGACTACTGCTACTGCGGCCTTCAGCTGGGCTCTGCCACAACCCATGAGTCGAAACGTTTGACCCTGGAGCTACAATCATCTGGGCCAAACTCACTCGGCAACTGCAAGTATGCCAAGGAGCCCGCCACGACAACACATGACAAGCCTGAAAATAATCACGAGGCAAATTGGGCGTCGGAACAACGGCCTCTGCTTCTTGCATCGTCTGGTGCTGGAGTACCCTGCACCTCCACCAAGGCTGAACGAGTCGCATCTGATTTCTGTCTCCGTTGCCGCGCAGTGGGCCTAGGGCAATTTCGTAATTCATGGCCTCGTCGCTGACAATTCGAGCAGGGTGCCATTGTCGAAAGCCCTGGATACATTGACTCCAAGATTGCGTCCCTTCGCAGATCCAATTTTCGGATGCTGTCATGATCCCCGTCGGCCACAGCCTTCTTCCGAGCAGCCTCCAGCTCAGCAAGGGCTGGTTCGCAAGATGTACGAGGGCCCGGCTTGCATCGCTCTGTGGTGTAGCCTATGGACCACCCGTTCATGATCACATAGCAGGAGTGCTCGACTCACACTGCAATGAGGGGCTTGGCCAGCATGGCTGCAGTGAGGATGTGTGCAACGTGCTTGAAGTATGGTGAGTGTCGAAAATCTCTCCGAAGGCACGATTCTTTCTACTTTCACCTCACTCACATGCCTAGATCTCGATCGCAGATCGGGGGGGATAAAACCGAAGTGAAAAGGAGGCCACCGAACGGGAAATCAGTTTCGGGTCGTGTCCCGGAACCTGGAATGCCGCTGAACACCGACGCTGTCTGCAAGCCCGCCGAACCCGAAACCCGGAACCCTGTAACCCGGAGAAACCCGAGCCTGGAACCCTGAACCCGCAACACTGCTGAGAGCCAGCGCTGCCTTGAGTGATGTTGCTGCTGCGGTAAATTAAAGTGATTGAAATTGGACTTCCACAAGAATCATCGTGCTTCCAGCAAAACAAATTAAGACCTAACTTCATCAAGTCAGACTGTCCTCGAAACTATCTGAAAACCAACGTCAACAACTTTACAAATGCACTTTTCTCAATTCAACCAAGAACTGTGCGCTCCAATTTTTTAAATTCAATCATGCGCTTCGCGCTGCCAACAATTTTCTCACATCGACCGAACGCTGTGCGCTCCAGCTTAAACTCAATCATGCGCTTCGCTCTCCCATGCTTCTCACTTCAACCAAGCGCGCTGCGTCCTAATGTGACCGCTTTCTCGCGGCTAGCTTGGAGGGAGCGTGTACTGCAAGATCGTTGATGGATCTTTGGTTTACACTGGTCCTTCTCCTCCACCTCTTCCTCCCCATCTTTCTCCTCCTCCTCCGCCTCCTCCTCATCCTCCTCCTCTCCCCCCCTTGTCTTCCCTTCCTCCCCGCGACGGGTGGTGGTGTCCGGGCCATAAATATAAACCCTGGCGGCCCGTCGAAACGATTTAGACACCCCCGGAACGCTCTGGGCGAGGCGCAACTGCTGGAGCGCACCCCGAGGCTGGAAAGCTTCAGGAACCTACGAAAACGCCAGAAAGCCTAAAACCCCAAATCTCCCCCATCCCCTCCTCATCATCAACAATGGTATCATCATGATCATAATCAGTATCATCACCACCACCATCACCACATCCAGCATCACCACCACCACCACGATCACCATCACCATCATCATCATCATCATCATCATCATCATCATCATCATCATCATCATCATCATCATCATCATCATCATCGTCGTCATCATCATCATCATCATCATCATCATCTCCATCTCCATCTCCATCTCCATCACCATCAGCATCATTAACATACGCCTCAGCCTCAGCAGCAACGTCGTCAACATCATCATCACCATCATCACCATCATCATGATCATAGGCATCAGCATCATTATCGTCATCACCACGGTCGTCATCACCACCATCACCACCACCACCATCATCATCACCACGACCATCGTCATCAACAACAACATCACCACCATCATCATCACCGCAACCATCATCACCAGCATCAGCATCAGCATCAGCATCAGCACCAGCACCAGCATCCTCATCCTTATCCTCCTCCTCATCATCATCGTCGTCATCATCTACAGCAGCAGCAACGACATTCTACCTCCTCCCCCCTCCCGCCTCTTCGTTCCGTCCTGCCGTCGCCTCCCTCCTCCTCCCCCTCCTCCCCCCTCCCCCCCGCGCCTCCCCCTCCTCCTCCGCCCCCCCACTCCTCCCCCTTCCTCCCCCTCCCCCCTCCCCCCCCCCTTCCCGCGCCCGGCCGCCCGGCGGGCCCGCGGTGCCCCCCGAAGAAGGCCGGGGCCAGGGCGGGCCCAGGCCTCGGCAGCGCCCGCAGGGCCCACCCACGCCCGACCCCACGGCACCTGCAGCGCCCGTTGGCGGCGCGGCAGCGCCGCCGCCACGGCGACGGCGCCGCCACGGCGGCGGCGGCGGCGACGACAACGGCGACGACGGCGACGGCGGCGACAACGGCGACGACGACGACGAAGACAAAGATGACAGACGCGACAAGCGCAACGAGGACGACGACGAGAATCGACGAAAGCGACGACGACGACGACAGCAGCGACGACGGCAGCGACGAGCCACGGCATCTGAAGCAATCGGTGCTGAGCAGTGTAAATGGTACCGTACATGCGGCAGGTGTGCGTAGTGCAAGCTACGTTGTGCAGTCTACGTGGTGCAATCTATATGGTGCAACCCAATTTGACTGTCTTGAAACTGTCCTCTCCGCTGCTCATGCAAACTTCCCACCCTCCCACCCGCAACTTGGTCGCAAGACCACGTAAGACCGTGACGGCGGGTATCAAATGACACTTGGCGACGACACCGCCGCCGACGACGACAGCGACAACGACGACGCCGACGAAGACTACGACGACACCGACGACGACTCCGACGACTTCGACGACGACGACAACGACGACGACGACGACACCGACGACGACGACGACGACGACGACGACACCGACGACGAGGATGACCACGCCGACGACGACGACGACGACGACGACGCCGACGCCGACGCCGACGACGAGGATGACGACGCTGAAGACGACGAGGACGACGCCGACGACGACGACGACAACGACGCCGACGACGACGACGCCGATGACGACGAAGACGACGAAGACGACGACGACGACGTCACCAACGAAACCGACGACGACGACGGCGAGGAGGGAGGACGTCGACGGCGACAACGACGACGACGAGAGAGGAGGGAAAAAACGGCGACGACGCGAACGACAAAGGAGGAGGAAGCAAGGCGACGCCGACGACGACAACGACGAGAGAAGAGGGATGACGACGACGACGACGACGATGACGGCGAGGAAATAGAAAGTGATGACGAGACGCCAACGACGGACGACGACGACGACGAGAGAGGAGGAAGGACGACAACGGCGACAACGACAACGGAAACGACGACGACGACGACGAGGAAAGACCGAGGACGACGACGGCGACGACGACGACGGGGAGGAGGAGGACGGCGACGACGAAGACGACGCAAAAGCGCACGCACGCTTTTGTTGAAAACCCGTGCTGCGAAACCCCATGGTTCTGTATGTTTCTTGACACTCGAATTCGACATTCTTCTGTAACCGAAGGTTTTTGAAGGACTTCAGCATGCGCGCGCGACGACGCGCGCGCGTGCACCCCGTCCCTCTTTTGCAGAGGATTCTCGCGACGGCACGCGCGCA